TGCTTATATGGCCTCGCCGTTCCGGCAGGAGGACCTGCAGACGCACGCACAGGGAGCGGATGGCCATGAAACACAGTGCTAACTGCGGCACACACTTCCTGAGATGCTGAGAAGAGCAACAACTTTGAGGCTCCCTCCCCCATCACAGCCCCTGTGTGGCATGGGAAGAACTAGCAGTTTCCTGGGCCGTTTCAGGATGTGCCACTGCAGGCAGAACGTGGTCCGCAGGAGGACCTGCAGACGCACGCACAGGGAGCGGATGGCCATGAAACACAGTGCTAACTGCGGCACACACTTCCTGAGATGCTGAGAAGAGCAACAACTTTGAGGCTCCCTCCCCCATCACAGCCCCTGTGTGGCATGGGAAGAACTAGCAGTTTCCTGGGCCGTTTCAGGATGTGCCACTGCAGGCAGAACGTGGTCCCCAAGCAGCCCCTGTCCTAACTCCTGGAGCTTTGGCCCTATCACCTCATGTGGCAACAGAAATGCTGCAGATGGGGGTGTCATGTGAAGGGTTAGGAGGGGATCATCCTGACCATCTGGGGCCCCCAGTGTCCCCCAGGGTCCCCTTGAGCAGGTGCAGGAAAATGAGAGGAAGAGAGGCGGAAGACACAGTGCTGCCAACTTCTGCAGATGAAGGAGTCATGAGCCAAGGGCTTTGGGTGCCTCTAAGAGCCGGGACAAGGACCTGAGTTCTGCCCAGAGCTTCAGAGGAACAGCCCTGCCATCCAGGACTGTAGATTTCTACCCTCCAGACTGTGAGATGAGAGATTTGCAGTTTTAAGCAAACAGCTGCAGGATCTGACACAACTTCACTCGGCACAGAAAGTACAAAGCAAACCCAGAGGCTATGTCTGCAGAAGGGACGGGGCAGGGCTGTGGCCAGTCAGGAAACTGTGGCACAGGGAGGGGATGCTCTGCTTCCAACTTGGAACCACATGTGTCCATTTAAGAAATTTTATTTATTTTGAAGCAGTCTCACTATGCAGCCCAGGCTGGCCTCAAATTCATAGCAATCCTCCTGCCTCAGCCTCCTAAGTGCTGGGAATACAGGTGTGCCTCACCACACTTAGCTCTCCTCCCTGGCTAAAAACTGTATTTAGAAAGCAGAAACAAGTCATCTATCCACGCTTGGGCTAGAGCTATGTGGTACAGAGGGGCAGGGAGGAGAAAGCCAAAAAGGTCACCAGTGCCATCTGTGGGACTCTGGGGACACACCCAAGCCAGCATCACCCCAGCCCTGTCCATCCAGAGGCAGTCCTGCCCTGTCCATCTCACAGCTGAGGGCTGGGGTCAGAAAGCCCAGCAGCCCTGCTTCTTCACCTGGAGGAGGAAGGCGTGCAGGTGGGGCTGGGACAAGTAAGGAGGGACAGCCCCCAATGCTGTCCTTAAGAGGGGCAATCACTGGGCATGAGAGCTGAGAAGGGCTGGTGCTCCCCAGGCTCTGGCAGGCACTACAAGTTCATGGGCAGTGGAAGGACCACCCTCCTCCCAGAGGTGGGCAGCTGTGTGTGAGCGCACCAGGTGCCTGAGGTTTGGAGCTTTGGCCTCTTCTAATCCCAGCCCACAAGGCCCACAAGGGGCCAAGCACAACGCTGGCCACCACAGCCACCCTCAAGCTATTCTCACCACCACTGAGGTGAGGCGTCCAGTGTTTTGGGTTTTGTTAAGATGCCACTGCCTGGGTCAGGACAGAGAGGGTCCCCAAAACCGCCCAGCCAGGAAGGTGTTTCTGGAGGGACTGCACTTGCCCCTCCACAGGCTTGAGGCTGCCTGGCACAGGGCAGAGGCCATGAACCTGGGTGAGGAAGAGGTTTGCTCTGCTAGCAGAATAAGGGCACTTGAACCTGTTTTGTCCTCTAGGTGGAGGGGTGGCCAGGCAGCAGTCCTGGGGTTCCCTGACCAGTAGGAAGGGCGAGGACCCTCAGGTTTCTGTGCACAGGCCCCCACCTGAGCACTGGAGGAACACAGGACAATGTTGAGGGGGGTCCAGGAAGGCTGCACCAGAGAAACTGCCCTAGTGGTCCTGAGAGGCTCAACCATGATCCCCTTTGAGCCACTCTGTCAGCTACTGGGGCTGGCCTTGTGGCCTCAGTCTGCCTGAGAGGACCATAAGGTGGAGTCCCAGACTATACAGATCTACAAGTCGAGCACACACCTGTCAAGGGGCCTGGCTATCCCTCCTGCTTCTCAGAACTGAACACAGAGGCTTCACAATGGGCCTGAGATGACCCAAGCCTTGGGGCCCAATGTGGAAAGTATTAGCTTGTGCCACTGCTCAGGTCCCCACGCCTGGCTGCCTGGCCCCTGCCCCACCCTACCTCAGAGGTCTGAGTCCTTTGGGGAGCTGTCAGGGATGGAAAGGCTCCCCAGGATGTATTCTGCATGTCCCTATGTTTGGTGCCTCTAACGGGCTCGTCCTTGCATTGGGGTGGGGGCACATCAAAAGAATCTGGGTTTGGAGTATGACTCAGTGGGGAGTGCCTTTGTTAGCATTCCTCAGAACACACACACACACACACACACACACACACACACACACACAAATAAATTAATTAATTAAAAAGGAGTACCTTGAGGTGGAGGGGCTCATCAAGGGACCCTGGAAGGTACCTTCCAACTTCTGGAGAATTAATATGGATGGAAATCGACTGGGGTTCCTTCAGGGGCCTGGACCAGGTATACATGTGTTTGGTAAAAGAGATTAAGTGGCTGTTTTTGACAAAAAGAATTCACAGCCAAGGGTGGTAGTGACTGCCTGTAAACTACAGTTACCAGACGGCTGAAGCAGAAGGATCACAAACTGGAGCCCAGTCTAGGCAACTTAAGTGACTTTGCAAGACGCTGTCTCAAAAAAAAAAATAAATAAATAATTTTTTTTTTTTTTGGTCTAAGGGATTAAACT